TGGAGTCTTGCCTTTCTCATGGTCTTTCCATACTGTCATTGACTGAATATGTGCCATTAAACACGTAGCCATATTTCTGACCCATCATGTTTTTAGCAGTATGTAAAAGACCCTTTTTATACCATTTCAGCTTTGGCCATATGATGCTCATCATCATCATTATGTAGCAGGTCTTTTGCAGAACGGCACTCTTGTCACGGTCTGCATGAAAGAAACTCGGTCTCTCGCCAGCTGTCCCGCCTCATGTACTTTTATACTCAAGTAGTCACTTATATCCTGTGCCCATCTTCGTGTCGGTCGGCCCCTGCCCCTCCTTCTTGGTACCATGCCTTCTGCTATTATATTTTCCAATCCGTCGTGGTGCTTGATATGACCAAAATATTTCAGCTTCCCAGACAGGATGCTGTTTATTAGCCAATCTTCCTTGATGTTCAGATCTTTCAAGATATCAGTATTCTCCTCTTCTTTGTCCAAGATATTCCATATGGTGCTAGACTTATATTTCTATATGACCTGATGGAGGATGCGGCTGAATCAGGCTGGTACTGATACTAACCAGCTGTGATGAAAAAAAAAAAAACATGCTTAAATTTCTGTTAACACGTGACATATTTAACACTTCTGACATATATAATGATTCTTCAAACTTAAACTTATTTAAAACAGAAAAAAAAAAAAAAAAACCAAAAGAGTGGTTAAAGAACAAAAAAAGTTGCATAAAACTGAGAAATGGAAAATGTCATATACGACTGAACAACTAAATTCAACAAGATTTTAACATCAACAAAAACCAATATGCTTCTCATGTGCACAACACATGATTATTATCCTATTTAAATTACATATGTAATAATAATAAAACCACAAATATAGGTATTTCTCATTTTTAGCCCATAAATATTTTCATGCTTATACTTAAACAACAAATAGAAAGTTGAATTAAGGTCTCTAAGATATGGATATACAGAAGAATAGGTCATATAATGTACACTTTACAAGACAGAACATCCTATTAAAAACAAAACCTGAGAGGAAAACTGAAGGCAGATGAGCAAATAGTAAACAGTGATACAAGTAGGAGGAAAACATAAGGAAATGGACAAAAAAGCAGACTCAGAGAGTACGACCAAGAGAGAAGACATGAGTGTTGGTAATCCACTGCAGTCAAACCTCACTATGGAGACGGCCCTAGACTGAGTGAAAATATGAACTCCGTTACCCCAAGAAGACTAAATCTAGTCACTCCAGGCTGTGACACAGTCCCGCCAGTGAATAGCCATGTCTGCAGTGACCATTTCTCAAAAAGTGTAGTCACATTCTGTTGGTTCTATGTGTGCATGTGCAATGTTTATTAGGCCAGGATATGAATATAGCAACTACAAATAGCATTTAGGAGGATTTCCTGATGTCTCCAGTGGCTTTTTGAAAGCCAAGTTGTCAAATTCACCTGTGAGCCTCATTGATTGAAGTCACTGGACCACAAATGAGTCACCCGATACATACTGTATTTTTATGCTTCAGAAAATGTCAGAATACATTACATTAAATACTTTATTCTGTTTTCTTGCTTGTTGATTACCCCTTTATATAACATTATAAATTTCGATAAAAGGTAGTGTACTTTCTGAATAGTCGACCACAAACAGGGGAAATCCACAGGTCACGGGACAGTCCAATATTTCAGGGGGTGGACAGTTTTATAATTTGGCAATTCATCTGCTGTGCAGTTTTGTGCTGTGCAGTTTTCAGTTGTGTGTGCTTCTGTTTTGTGTGCTGTGCAGTTGTTTTTGCTGTGCATTTTTATTGTGTGTTGTGGACTCTATGTGCAGTTGGGAGGATGCATTTTTTAAAAATTAAACACACACCGCCGGAGAGATTCTGCCGGAAGAAACGCACAAAAATCTTGGCAACACCTTGGAAGAAACAAAGAAAGCCGCGAAGCCTGGTCTTACTACCCTCTAAAATACTGGACTGTCCTGTGACGTAAATTGTGGTCAGTTATTAAGAAAAAATCTGATAAAATATTAAAAATACAGATAAATAGGTTTAAAAAACTTTATAAATAAACATGTGAAATATTTTTTAAAGGATTTTTTCTAGAAATACCTAGGGGTTCATAACCTATAAATATATATATATGCACACACACACACATACATATTTATGATATGAGAAGTGCCTACAGAATATTGCACCACTTATAGCTCTGTGACAAGTTATCTTATATATTCTAGTTACATGTATATGTGTACGTATAATGATGTCCACATTTATATGGATAATAACTTATTATAATCAATCTATCCATACCCTCGTCACAAGAGTGTTGAAGTGCTATGTAGAACCTGTGTTGTTAAATGTATGTGAAACATGGACAATAAGCAAACAAGCTGAAAACATTTACTGACAGCAGAGATGTGGTTTCTGAGAAGAATGCAAAGAATATCATGGAAGGACAGAAAAATAAATGAAGCAGTCCTCAGTGAGACAGATGCAAGTCGCAACTTTTTAGAACAACAGATGTAGACAGTGAATTTTTGTTAGACATGTTAACAGAAAGAAGGGACTTGAGAACTTGGCAACAACTGGCAAGATTGATAGAAAGAGAGCAAGAGGAAGGCGAAGAGATAAAAAATCTGGATGGTTTGGCCAGATGGATGGGGCTAGACAAAAACACTGAACAGATCCATGATTCTAGTGATCGTGTGAAACGGCGAAACATGGCAGCCTACGCTTACTGGCACAAGACGATGATAATGATGACACCTTTCATGTCACTGTTGACACATAAAGCACTCACAAATGATCTCCATTGCCACTGGTCTGCTGCTTGTCAGTTTACTCTCCTTCATTTCCTTTTCTACTGTCCTCCACGTTTCCTGAGGTACTCTAGCACCCAACAGTGGAGATGTTTTGGGGAGAAAGATTCATAGCTGGACTACCGACTTCCTTTCAACTTTGACCCTCAGCCATTATTTTACAATTCAATATAATAGTATAGGTTTTTTCTCATATTAAGTGTACAATTATTTCTAACTTACTTTTCTCACCATAGATACTTATTTCGCATGTTTCAACCCACTGCAATTGGCTTTTAACCACATTCAATATTCATGATTCATGAAGCATTCAGATGTCATTACTTATGAAAATATCAGTTTTCTTCAGTTTAAAATGACTATGAGTTGACCAGTCTTTTTAGAGACAGCTACTTCGAGTCACACAGACTGGTTATTTGTCATATGGTCAGCCAAAGTCTGCTTCACTACACCAGAGCATTAATCATCCCCTTCGCTACCACTACACAGCTCTGTATTGACCTGGGTCTCAATGCAGCTCTCTATCACCTCCAGGCACACATCATACTGCTGGTCGAACCCCAGGTAGGCATCGCTCATCACGTACACTGTGTACACCACCCGGCCAGTGGTCTCAGGGGTGCACAGGGCGATCTGTGCTGTCATCTTCCCTCTGATGTAGCCGACACGTTTCAAAGCCACCACTTCTTTGGTGTCCACAATGCCCACCACAATGATCCAGCCTTCGTCTTTTGGCTTTGGAAAGTGCAAGGAATGAGCTTTGGTGTCTGTCCTCTGAAAATACAAGGAGACACAATCAGATCTAACACAACAGAAATTATAATAATTATAAAGATCAAAAACACAGTCATCACGAATAACACAACAGAAACAATATTAATTATAAAGATAAAAAGCACAGTCATCACGAATAACACAACAGAAATGGACATATTTCAACACAATAATAAAGAAAGAAATATAATCAGATTTGAATAACAAAACATACGCTGAATACTTACATATTAATAAACACAATAATAAAGAAAGAAATATAATCAGATTTGAATAACAAAACATACGCTGAATACATACATATTAATAAACATAATAATAAAGATGTGGAGCTATAAACCTACTTAGGTAGTTATATAGCCACAGCTGTGGAAACTGATAGAGATATAAAAATTCAAATACAAAAGCCAAGAGTATCCATAGCATTAGGAAATCTGTGGAAGTTTAAGGAAATTAAGGCCAATACTAAACTTAAAATGTTAATTATAATGTCAAATCAGTAACTAATGAACTATAAACATTCATTAACTGGTACCACTGCAGAAAAGAGGAAATTAAATGGTATGACAGAATTACTAATATGGAGCTTTGGTAGAGATCTAAACAATATCCAGTGAATCATGAGGTAAAAAATATGTTGGTTTTGGATAAGGCAGACAATAAGAAAACTTGAAAACAATATAATTAGATTGTCTTTGCACTGGAACCCACAGGGGCACAGAAATAAAATTAAAAAATAAAAAACACTTTGAAAAGGGAGCTCAGTCAGGGAAGTTAAAAAGATAGGGAGGACATAATGCAAGCTGTTGCAAGAGCAAAGTTTAGGACGATTAAGCGTTGGTTTGTTGAGGGCCTATGCTCCATTTGGGGATAAATAGTAGAAAAACAAGAAGAAGAAGAAGAGATACAGAATCTAATTTGATGTTTTTATTCCCCATTTATTAAGGAATAAAGAATAGAAAAACTAGAAGAAGAAGAGATATAGAAGCTAATCTGATGCTTCTGTTGTCCCATTTATAAAGGGATAAAGAAAAGGAGATGAGGAATAAACAATTAACATAACATAACCCTTGTCCCATTAGGGTCATTGAGGTGTATCGATGGAGGCACATAAAACCTGCCATCTTTCTCTGTCTTCTACTTGATGAACAAGAGTATGATAACTTAGACTGTTCCATTCCAGGTTCTTCTCTGCTCTCCTCTTCTTTGACTCCTCCCACCACCTGCCGGAACTAAGCCAGCTTGTGACGTTTCAACACTGCTAAGAGAGGCTCTTGCAGTCCTACAAATTTTTATATTTTGTCTCTGACATGTTTGTTACTTTTATTTTCTAAATAACTAATTCATAAAATGTGTCTTTAGCATTTACATTGGAAAGCCTGAATCCTTCTCTCCATCTACAATTACCTTTGCTTTATTAAGGCGTCTAAAAGATATACTGAGAACATATTCCTGATCTGCATGGACAGGTAACCAGTCTGCATCTGATCTCAAACCACCTGAAATATACAGTTATATTATGTAGAAAACATAAATAAATAATAATGTTGATGGTGATGATGAGACAAAGAAAATATAGAAAGATTACCAGTAACAATTTTCTTGACCTCTCGGTCAGTTTTTTTGAGTTTGTTTAACTAACGTTAAATATGTTGTCATGGTTTCCCGTCTCTATGTCAATAACTCAAGTGTTATCTTCCCAATAATTGCATGAGATTATGGCACAACTTGAGTCTCGTAGGATAAATGGTGGCCAAGTACAACAATTTTAAAGCCCCTGTGTACTTAGAAAAAAATATAGACATAGCATAGATATGACACACACGCATATCCTAGTTAGATACAAACTAGATTTACAACCTAGTCAGACAGAGCTGGATACAACATACATACATGTCACTGTTAGACACAGAACAGACGAAGTATGACAATCACAGGGTACTCACTGAACAATACTTTATGATCACAATAACAATCGATTAATCACAAACCTCTATGTCTGATGTTAACAGGCCTGGAGATACTCTGTGAAAACCCCTTCAGCCAGCCTCTTACTTGAATGTCCACCTCAATCTGTGGCATCTGAGTCAGCACCCTGAATGCCTGTAATGGATGTCATTTGTCCACAATCATCACTTTGTTGCAAAATATAGTGGAGCCAGCAATTTGAGGAATTTCAGAAAATGGATTATGTATAAATTATCTCACCTAATAGATTTAAAAATAAAAACTAAGAAATCTGCATTTACACAAGAGTAATTCTATGCAATCTTCTTTTCTCAGCTGAAATGAGAAAGACAGTTTTAAAGCGCTTTTTCTTCTTAAAGCCCATGCAGTGTGGCGTTGGTAGTCATGTATCTATACATAATCTTTTGTGTTGCATACTTTCAGTCAGTTCTGACACAAATTATCATCCATGCCATGACGTCAAATTATCTAGCATCTTCTCTCTTGGTCTCCTTTTGCCTCTCTTCCCCTCCAATTTTCTGATTGTCCTGACATATCCCAGTTTTCTCCATCTCATGACATGACCACAGCATTTAGATTGTCCCCTTCTGATGTGAGCAATCAGTTCGCGAGTCAGTTTCTTTCAAGACTCTCCATTGCTCTTTTTTTATGTCAAAGAAATTTGCATAATTCTTCTATAAAACCAAATCTCTACTGTTTCTAAACAATTTTTTCAGCTGTCCAAGATTCACTTTAGATCTATACCAAGCCAATCCTGATGTACACAAGTGAATTATGGACAGTCAGTAGATTAATTAAATATGTCAAATCTGGAGAGGTGGGGTTTTACAGAAGAATGATGAGAGCGCATTGACCGATAAAAAGTGTAATGAAGATGTCTTGAAATAAATTAATTCATAAAATACATTGGGGCATATTGAAAGAAGGTCAGATGACAGAGAAGTAAAAACTGTATACACCAGGGAGATGAATGGTCGTAGACCATGAGGCAGACCAAAAAAATATGGAGAGATAATATCCAGACACACCTGCAAACACCTGGAGTCACCAACTGGAAAGAGAAAGCCAACCAGAGAGATGAATGGAGGCGAGTGATATTTGCAGCATTGAACCTCAAGGGCTCGAAATGCTGAAGAAGAAGAAGAATAAAAAGACCAGGTTAGCAGCAATAAAAAAAATATAAGCACCTATCAGTATATATATATATATAAAATACTTGGACACATCGTCATAAAACATAGATGCACTGTGAAATTAGAAAAGGTGGAGGGAAACAGAAGCAGAGGGTGACCAGGTGAGAATCTGTTGGACTGACATGATCACCAATGTCACAGACTAAAAGATGTTAATGTGCATTTAATTATTTACTATCTTTATCTTTCTCTGTTCCTCTCTTTCTCCTTCTTTCACTGTCTCTGTGCATTTACAAAAACATAAACTATTTACACACAAAACTAAAAATGTATATAAACTATTTGTGTTCATCATATGTATAGAAACTGTTTATGTATGAACATATACTGTTTATGTGTAATATATTTACATTAGCGGTTTATGTTCAAAACAATTACATAATTTGTTTTCAATATATTTACAAAACAGCTGCTGTCAATTTCACTAACTATTCTCGGTAAACAACTTGACAACTCAAACCTGGTCAATGTTTTGTGGACTCATCTCTGAATCCAGCATGGCTGAGAACACATCAAACTTCCCATCACAAGAGGCCATCAGCTCTGGCAATGCTTCTATGGTACGACTCCCGTCTTTGTTTCTAGAACCTTTCTCTTGTATTCTGAAGAAACATTGACAAAACAGTTCAGTAGCCATTATACTAAACTCTCAACCAAAACTTAAGATGCAGTTATAATTAGGTGCAGTTATTCAGGAGCGGTTAGCCCGAGTGGTTAGAGTGCTGGGCTCAAATGTGTGAGACATAGGTTTGATCATCGGTGAGGGATAAAGATTTTCTTGTCCATGGCAGAAATATAATCCTAACCTGCACAGTTAGTGGCAATTGCATTACTCTTGGGGCTTTAAAATTCTCAGGCTTATGACTCCCCCTCCCCCAATCCTATACAACACTAAAAAGAGGCAAATTCTACTAGTAAAGACAGTTATATGAGGCTATCAAAAATTCACATTATTTTTATCATGTATTATGTATTATGCTCATGCATTACTAGGGTCTTGTGAAAGCAAAGCTGGTCTTAGCGTTCTTTCATTTTATATTCTACAAACATTCATTTGTACCTGGGCTTTTAGGGAAAGCAAAGCTGGTCTTAGCTTTCAGGCATCTAATTTTCAATCTATATTTTTATATCTCTCTCATTGCAACATAGGCCATTAACCATTTCATGCTAAAAGACAGTTTAAAATGGGTAGAATGGTGCTAGCTAAATATTTATACAGACCAATCAGCAATCAATGTGTTACTCCAGCTGCCTTTATTTCCCAAGAATATTTCCTGCTTCCCACAATAGGTTCGGGTCAGTGTCAGAGTTTGAGTGAATGAATGAATCAATCAAGAACTGATATCACTACATCAGGGCTTTCCCACACGTGCCATGCCCTGTCCCCTTCTTTAGTAGCCAACAAAGAGTCGACATGCTATGGCACCAAATGCAATAGCTACCAGTTCGCCTGTGTTTCCCCCTCAGTGTTGCATATCTTCCAGAACCTCTACCCACCCCAGCTGAATTAGTCTTTCAGTGTATGGATTCTCTGTTTGTTCTGCTGCACTGTCCCTTTGATCCCAGAGAGTAAACAGTGCGGAGGCGCAGACAGATCATTACGGTCTAAGGAGAAAAGTGTTGCGAGGAGTTACCAGGAAATCTGGCCGACACCCAACACTCAGGGGAAGGATGAGACAGATTAACAATCAGAGGGTTGCTGATACCATCAGAATTGAAACTCTTCACTTGCTGCTGAAATTGGGGAATGAGCACGTAGGGGAGTGTCCTTGGTGCTGTGATGTCGATTCTTAATTCAAAATTCACAGAGAGCATTCACCATGCCTGCTTTATCAAGTTTAAGTTAATTTTTTTTTAAATAATTCCAGTCCAGATGAGGGATCAGAACATATAAGTGCTGGGCTGGCAGGCAACAGTTCTTCTGAAGAACAAAACTAACATTCACAAACCAAATATTACCTGAAAAAGTAGGTGTGGTAAGGCTGTACATGAGGTAGCTGCAGCAGACTGGAGTCGTACCACCACTGCCCCTGCACTACCATCTGGATGAGGACAATCACATTGAGGGATGTTACCAGCCAGCCCTGGTCTGCAGATACATCCAGCATTGCCTGTGGGGGATGATCAGAGCTTCAGGATTCCAGCAAGGAAAATCTTATACTCAACTGTAATACAATCTAGTGACCAGGACCCTGACCTTGTCTAGCTTGTCTTTCATCAGATCCCCATCTGTGACTTGACTGATGATGCTAGAGAACTGAACTTCTGCAGTCATAAATAAATAATTCAGACAGCCCAGTAATAACAAGAACGATGTTTATGTGTGTTGGCTGGATGGTCTTGCTTCTGCATCTTCCTCAAAGAGATATGCTGTGTCTTGACTACCAGGCTCTAGCCTCACATCACATACATGCGAGGAAGGTCTGATTGTGGCTTGTTTACACGTAGCACTTATGTACACATACATATGTACATGGACATAGACCTAACATATGAACAGAAGATAGCATAACCAAATATCCGCTCATACTTAAAGTGTTACATAAAGTAAGCAGAGTAAAGATCCCTTTTCACGCCTTTAGGCGTATCGGGTATATGAGCGCCCATATTTTTACAGACCACCGGCACTAGGTGGGTAATGTGGTCAGCATTATGCCGGCCGTCTTAGTTCCCCATGACAGCCATCCTGGTACCCGTTTTAGGTTGGGTCGACCTGCAACGTCCTATACCATGATTAAAAACCACGCAGACAGCAGTGGGAATCTATCACGGTACGTTAGAATTACGAGTTGGACTTGCACGCCTAAGCCACGGACGCTGCTGTAAAGTGTTACATAATATAATACATAAATCTCTGGGAAACTAGAGAGACCACTAAACTAGTATGACAAACAAACTGTATACAGATTGGCACTCACAGATGCAAAAGTAAGAAGTCGAGATAAGGAGATAAAGAGGACACGCTAGACAGAATAAAAATAACAATTGTAGTGACCACACAATGGACTGAATCTGCTGCATCCAGTTGATGATGGTGCCTCATTGTATGACCTACTAGACACCCTGGAGGTGCCAGGTTCCATCCCTAGCATGGTCACTATTGTTCTCTCTTTGTTGCTTGGTGGGTAACTTTGTCTCTACTTCTTTCTACTTATTTATAAGTGCCAAGCAGTACACAATTTGTTTGGCATACTATAAAATGTGTTGCATGTTTCATTTTACCTGTAAGATTCGAATAGCCTGATCCAAAACAGACTTGGTGTCTGTGTGGTAGTCTGATGAAGGCAGAGGCAGACGACAGAAGTACGCCTGCAGCAAAATATTGGTCTTGGTGTGGGCCGAATCCAAGGCAGACTGGTTGACCTCCAGAGGTAACTGACTGGCTAGATCACTGTCATGTTTGGATTAGAAACATTCACATTAACAATTATGTTTGTATTTACCACAGTTGTTACATGTCAAAGATAGCAAAGACAGTGTTTGGTATAAAATGGATTAGAAACATTCACATTAACTCTTTGTCCCAGGGGGCATCACAGGCCCAGGTGGTAGTAAAGATAGTCATAAAATTGGCGCATCATGGGTTCACTGGGCTTCTAGGTAGGAACCTATGAACGTATGCTGCGTTCCTTGGGATTCAAGAGTTAAACAGTTATTTCTGAATTTTTAACAGTTGTTAATCCTTTGAGTCTCAGGGGGTTTAGCCTCACAAGCCAAAGAAGTAGTAAAGAGAAAGATAAAATCGGCGCATCTTGCGTTAATTGGGCTTCTAGGTAGGAACCTATGAATGTATGATGCATTCCTTGGCATTCAACGAGTTAAACTGGAAAGACAAACAGCAAAAAATGAGAAACTTCTGGTATGAAAGAAGAAGAAGCAGAAGTGCTATATGTTAGACAATCACACATGAAACATAATGTAAGTACAGTGAAATGTTGATTCACGATTCATCCAAGATGCATTTAAACTTATTTCTACCACATATGAGTAGTGCTGGCCGAAAAGTTAAGAACACTGCACTCTTAAGCTAGAGACTCAGATTCAAATTCTCTTTAGTTTTTTATTTCTTCAAAATCCCAGTCTGCACAGTCCATGGATACTGCACTAGCTATGTGGCCCTAAATCCTCCAGAACCAGAGTGCTGTGTGCACATCTGTTTTACAGATGCGGCTTATCTGTATACAGACTGTTGGTTTCTTGCCTCTCAGGCAAATGCACGCCGACTTCCAAAGGATGTACCCAAATAGTCGGCTCCTAGGATATGCCTGAAGGGGAGGCAGTGGGTCTATTCTTGTTTTCTCTACAATACAGCCCCGGAACCCACATGGGGAATAATATCCATCGAGAACGTATTGTTCTACAAAATTACCAACAACAGTTCACATGCCTTTCGATCGAGAGTCCTACTGAACTGCAACTACAGAAGGTTCAGATTCCCTACAGTTATCCTAGAGATAGGATTGGTGTTTCCTTTGAAGCTGGAGTACAAGTGCCCAAGAGGCAAGGAAACAACAAACTGCACACAAATAACACACATAAATTAAGGGGGAAAAAAACAACAGAATACATGCAAAATGCAAGTCTGGAACAAAGCCAAAAGCCCAGAAATGGATGAACAACCTGGTCTAGAAATGAACTTTACAGCCGGTGAACACAAACAAACAAACATTACTGGCAGTACTTACCTGTTTATCTGGTCTTCATTATGTCTTACTGGCAACTCTGCATATTCTGCCGCATGCTAACCAGGGATATAAATATTCAATATAACCAGATCTAATCTTATTCCCCAATCATAGACATACAACTATAAAATGTGATATACAATGAAGGCATAAAATACAAGTAAAGGACACTATTCCACACCTTCATGTGTATTGCGCATTTAGGTAAGTAAAGTAAGGTAAAGATCCCTTTTTACGCCATAGGCCCATCGGGTATATGGGAAGAGCGTCCCATATTTTTACAGACCAATCGGCACTGGATGGGTAATGTGGTCAGCATTATGTCGGCTGTCTTTGCTTCCTTAGGACAGCAATCCCGGTACTGATTTAAGGTTGGGTCGACTTGCGAAGCCCCATACCCTGATAAAAATCCACGCAGCCAGCAGTGGGTTTCGATCGCGGTACATTGGATTATGAGTCGGACTCACAAAGCCTAAGCCACGGACGCCGTATTGCGCATATAGGGCTAGACCTATATTTTATAGACCAATCGGCACCAAGTGGGAGATGTGGTCAGCATCACGCCACTGACTACTCTTGTACTGAAAAAATCACTTTAAAATCTGACATTGTGTTTTATGACTTGTCAGCACATCAGTCAATGAAAAAGGTAGACTCCACAAGGAAGGTTAGCTGCAAGGAATCTTCAATGCTCACACTCTCTCAGACTGACTGCTCTTTAGCCCAGGCCTTGATGTTATCCGCCCAAATGTGTCACTGTGTACTTCTTGTTCACCTGCCTTTCCCTTTTTTTTGACAATGATGATGATAATTAACACAGTTTGGTGCTAGATTCCAGAGGGTAAACTAATAAAGAGAATGTCTCATGTTACACAGGCAATGTATATGCTAATGGTGATGATGACAATGATGATGACAATGGTAATGATAACATGATACTGAGAATTAAAGAAAAAAAAAATGCTTGTCCCAGACAGTAGCTGATATAAAACAGATGTGTGGTTCAGCTAGGACAAACAGCGGAAAGTAACCTTTATTGTTATAACTGTTTGAAAGAGAAAGAGTCATTGCAATAACTGGATCAGGGATAGCTACAACAACAACAGAAAAATACTGGCCATGAGTTAGCCCCCTGTGTGTTACCAGAGCTCACAAAAACAAAGAATAACAACACTGTAACCTGCCATGCATGTCACAGGAGGGGACTAAGGAGAGTTGGTTTGAGCCTGTCTACCTCATTGTACAGAATCCTGTAGGTGCAAATTCCAACCAAGCCGGAATAAGCCTGCAAAGAGCTTGGCAGGAATCGGTTAGTGAGACTAAGCTTCACTGTGAGGTGAAAGAAGGAAGAAAAAGAAGGGGAACAGGGAAAGTAAAAAGAAAAGAGTAGGAGGAGTAGGAGGTAGGAGTATAGGAGACGAAGAAGTCAAACTATTGACTATGATAAATGAATTCTTCTTCTTTATTCAACTGTTGAAGAAAATGTGTTGTGCCCACTTACAACATGGCTGCGGTATTTACGCCTTTCGACCTACACATCTAACTTCTGCAAACATTTGTTGCCCAGGTTAGCCTTCCTGGTGATGAGTGAATAGCTGGCCTGGACAAAAGGATTAAACAGAGACTGGAGGTGGCAACTACTTAAGTTTAGAGATGCCACTACTATCACAATCATCATCATCCTTCATGTGGCGTTAGACATCGCATAGGACTCGCATTTGATTCCTCCACTCCGCTCTATTGCATGCTCTTAATTTCTGACATAGAGTTCAGCCTAGCATGTCTTGTCTCTCGCAATAATGTTCTTCTTGAAGTTACCCTTGGATGTCCTCTTTTTCTCAGATGATTTCTTTCCCAGTTTAGCGCCTGTTTTGTAATTCTCTGCTCATTTCGTCTCAGAATATGCCCAATATATTTTCTTCTTCTTTGTCTTACTGTAGTTGACACAGGTATTTGTCCAGACATTTCTTTGATCTCCTCACTTTTTCTGAAATCATCCCATTTTATGTTTATGATTTTTCTCAGACATACATTTTTAAATGCATTTAACTTTCATCCCATATCTTTTTCTCCAACTTTCACTGGCATATGTTAGAACTGAAATCACGTTAGAATTAAAATTTCATAGTTTGGTCTAAAAGCTGTATAGCTTGGAGCTCCATATTTAAAAAAAAAAAGGCTTTTAAAGATTGTTGTTGCTTTGCCAGTGCATATCATAATTTCTTTGGCTGAATCTCCTTGAGCGTCCAAATTGCTATCCAAATGCCGCTATTAAACTAACTGAAAAACGAGATACAAGTGATAACTTACAGACATCACATCGATGAGTTCTGGAATGGTACATTCTGACTTCATGAGATCACTGAACAGGCGTACTGTGTTGTGCTTCAGGTAGTAATAGGAGGAGATTCGGCCAAGGGTCAGCGGGTTGATGCTGCGATTGTCCTGGAATGGGAACACAAGAACTCATCTCATCCTTCTCATATATTTAACATTATAATAATGTGACATTTCAGACTCTCCTGGCCAGCTAATATCTAGAACAACATGGCATAGTTTGGAAAGAATAATGAAACAACATCATCATATATTGAAAAAAAAAATGTCCTTATGTTAAACCAGCATCCCCAAAGGGGGAGCTTTTGGTTATAATTGTGACTTAGGTTATTTGCAACATATGAAACGGTTTAGCATTGATAAAATGGCTTAGAATTAATTGCTGGCCACAGAGTGGCCTTAAAAGGACTCTTGCAGTGGTAATGCGATCAAAGGAGATAGACCCAAACACTGTCCCAACTGAGGATGAAGTCGTCTACCGGCAAGCCAATGGGCAACCTAGTCGTCGATGAATAATGAAACAACAGCATAGTTGTTATATAACTACATGTTTCTTTTCTATGTTATCAGTCAAGCTAACTACAATGTCTAGTTTCTTCTGCTTTTTCTTCAGATTCAGAGGCTGTAAACTCAGGCAGAAAGTTCTGCTTCCTTCATCAACGTCTGGACTCTGGTCTTGTTCCAGAACTTGAGTTTTTGCATGCACATCCATTTTCCAGAACTGGATTGTTTATATGCAGAGTGTTGGTTCCCCCCCTTTCAGGCAGATGCACTATGACCTTGAAGAAAACACCTCTAATTAGTTGCCACTTACAACACACTTGGCAGGAAACAATGGGTCTGTGCATATTTCCACACAATAAGACCCTGCAGCCCATATGGGAACAATGGCTAGTTTAACAATTAGCTTATTATTACCAGCTAAATTACTGTATGTGGCAATTGCTATTTTCTTGTTGTCTAGACCAGAGGTTCCCAATTTGTTGCAGATCCCGTTCACTGTCAAAGGCCTGCCACGAATCCCATACTTTTAACAAAACACTCTTTTCACACCAGTGGCATATCAGCTAGACACTAGACTCATACATTTTTACAGACCAAGTGGCACTCGGTGGGTGATGTGGTCATCATATCCTGCCAGATACTTTTAACAGCCATATTTTAAAAAAACATTTTAAAACAGAGAGAAAGGGGGGAGGGGAGAAAGAGAGAGAACGAACGAGCTTTATTTTCAAAGGATTACAAATTAGTCACGCAGGCCTATCTTAGAGAGCTAGTGAGAGAGAGAAATAGTATCAAAATTAAAAGTGGATTCTATAGTTGAGGTTCTTTTTTTGCACAAAATTAAATCAAGTACATCTTAACAGATTTCAGCAAACTAATTAAAGCATAAGCTCGTTTCAACAGCCCCCATGTACTTAACATAGTATGTGAGAACCTCATATTGCTAATATTTTGTGTTCCACTCTCAGTCTCTACAGAGTTGACCTCTATCTGTAAAAGGATCATGACAAACACACACACCTTCTCTCTTGTCCTAGATCTTACCCTGCAGTATTTTAGTAACTGACCTTGTTGTCTCATTCTGCTCAAAGAAAACATTTTTAGTATGTTGTCTAAACGAGTAATACTATTTTATAGTAAGATGAACTGCATACTGACCGGCACTCATAGATGCAGAAGAAGTAGAGACAAGAGGACAGCAGACAACTCCCCCCCCCCCCCACCCACCCAAATAGAAAGCTACAGTGACCATGACAGGAAAGAGAGGTTGTCACCTCCAGATTGTCTGATTGCCTCCAGGTTGTCTGGGTGCCTCCATGTTGTCTAGTTCATCATCGAAGTATATATGTTCTTCCAGTGAGGCATTTAAGTAGGAAAGTAAGTAAATTATACCCCACCAGGACATCACACAAGCGATAAATACCCGGTGACACAAAGTGCCACCATGCGGATAAAGATAACTTGTAGAGAAGTTCCGGAAATTCGGTTCAGCCGTTTAGGCCATATGTATAGCAGGCTGTATTTAGGGCCACCGGCAAAAGCCAGGGTAGGGCTTCAAATAACGAAAAATTGCCTTCCACATGGGAACAACTAAGATACCAGGTAAGAGGCATATGAAGAGGACAGGTTTGATCCCTAATGTGGCTACTATAGTTTTTTTTTGGCTTTATATATCTATTGTTGCCAATGTTTTAAATTTTGTTCATGTGAACTATTTTCTGTTCGGCTTTGTTTCTAAACCCTATGACAGCACCACATCCAAGAAAAACAATAAAACTTGAAAGATCTTTTCACTTCTTTTGTTTAAAGCCCATGTTTCAGAGCTGTACAGTTCTATGGGCCAGATATGTGAAGCGATTGCTGTTTCCACAGTTCAATATTGATTTCCCTTAATGTTAGCAATATTTATTTCTCTTGGAATGTGTTTATGGTTACAGGAATCAATGATCCTATCTTTAGTGATGTAGTCAACATCATGCCAGCCATCATAACTTTCCAGACCTTTTCCTGGAACACATTTTAGTCTAGGCTGACAGGGGAGAGCATCTACCCTGTAGCAGCATGTGCATCTGAGTCATGGAGTTGCAGTCCTTAAAGATGAAAATGAAGGTTCTGAGCTGATATGCTAAAGAAAGATTCTCAGAATACCATAGACAAAGAATAAATATAAATACGGATATCCTATAAGATTTGGGAATCAAGGAAGACTGGCTAATAAACAGCATCTTTTCTCAGAAAGTGAAACAATTTGGCCATATTAAGTGCCATGATGGATTGGGAGAAAAAAGCAGGACAGGCAGAGCATGACCAGCAGGAAGATGGGTACAGGATATAAGTGAAACCTTGGGTAGGAAAGTGCACGAAGCAGGAGAGCTGGCATGAGACTTGCCACGAGACAAAGTTTCTTTCAGGCAGTCCGTGATGAGGGCGATGTTCTGCAAAGGACCTGCTACCTGGTGATTATGATGACCTGGGACCCATTAGCTGGGTCAACCTGGTAGCCCAGGTCAATTGTTACAAATCCTTCCCCATGCAGATTTAAAACTAATACCTTCATGCTGACAAATAAGCATCTAGCCAGTTCTACAGCTACTGAGGTCATGAAGCTTCCTAAAAATTCAATTTCTCGGACTAACCGCTATCAATAATTTCAGATATGTCTCAGCTGACAATATTTTTCTTTATAAATATTTTTCTTGGTGTATCCCATGTGATAAAAACATTGATAAAACTGAGCATTTCTAACTGCAACAACCAGATATCTGAGACCTGTGGAGTCTCTGTGCTGAAGTGGTTATCTGCTGAAGGTCATGAGTTCATTTCATAGCCAGGATGTTCAGTTCACGAGTACAGTTTTAGGGAGATCGCTGGGGATAGTCCCAGGAGGTATGTAGTTCGTGCCACACTTCTGGCTAGCCATTTTGTATAGAGAGACTGAGCCAAAGGGGATAAAATCCAGTGCAATGCAGTCGATCTTCTCGACTTGAACCTTTAACTGTAACAAAGCACCTACCTCGCCAATCTCCAGACAGTAAGAATGCTCCAACAAAGCACCTACCTCGCCAATCTCCAGACAGTAAGAATGCTCCAACAAAGCACCTACCTCGCCAATCTCCAGACAGTAAGAATGCTCCAACAAAGCACCTACCTCGACAATCTCCAGACAGTAAGAATGCTCCAACAAAGCACCTACCTCGCCAATCTCCAGACAGTAAGAATGCTCCAACAAAGCACCTACCTCGCCAATCTCCAGACAGTAAGAATGCTCCAACAAAGCACCTACCTCGCCAATCTCCAATCAGTAAGAATGCTCCAACAAAGCACCTACCTCGCCAATCTCCAGACAGTAAGAATGCTCCAACAAAGCACCTACCTCGCCAATCTCCAGACAGTAAGAATGCTCCAACAAAGCACCTACCTCGCCAATCTCCAGACAGTAAGAATGCTCCAACAAAGCACCTACCTCGCCAATCTCCAGACAGTAAGAATGCTCCAACAAAGCACCTACCTCGCCAATCCCCAGACAGTAAGAATGCTCCAACAAAGCACCTACCTCGCCAATCTCCAGACAGTAAGAATGCTCCAACAAAGCACCTACCTCGCCAATCTCCAGACAGTAAGAATGCTCCAGCTCCATCAGCGCTTTGCTGACCAGTGTGGACAGGTATTTGTTGATAGTGTCATGGTCGGTGCTGTCCAGATTGTAGAAGCTGAAAAAAAAAACAGATAAGGCACATCTACATAAATAACTGAGCCACATGTTAAACATCATCACCCATGAAGTAAAAACTTGTCTAAACAATTATGGATTTAGCGCCATACACCCAATGTGGTGTTACCTGTTTTTTTTTTTTTTTAAACTATCAAAAAAACATTATAAATAATAAACAGGCAAAACTATGAGACTAAAGGTTTTCTTGAAATCTGGTATTGTGTAGCTCCAGCAACAATGCCCAAGCATCTCTTAACTCTCTCTGTCCGAAACAAATCTGGGGATTATTTGCTTGTACTTGTCAACATGTTATGTAAGTTTTTACATGTGTTTGTTTCCTGCAAGGGTTGTATATCCCCCCCCCCCCCCCCCCCCCCCCCGCCCACCCTTCCTGGAAGTAGCAGACGCATGACATTTGTATGGCCATTCTCAACATCCTGGGATGTTAGCTTGGACTTTGTGGGGCTGAAAGAGTTAAATCCTGCACTAGAGAACCAAAACCTGTAGTCTAAAACTGAAGCAAAGACCTTCAGACCATGAGGCCCAAAACTTGAGCACTCTTCCCGTTTTTATTTCCCATAATATGTTTAGGCTGAGTCAACCCTGGGGATTAGGCCAGTTAAAACAGTCTGCCTCCATATCAGCAGTTTTAAACCTGTGGGTGGCCACACTTTGGGGGGTCGAACGACCCTTTCACAGGGGTCGCCTAAGACCATCGGTAAACACATATTCACTGAAGTTATGAAGTAGCAATGACATTGTTTAATGGTTGGGGGTTCCAGGACATGAGGAATTGCATTAAAGGGCTGCGGCATTGGGAAGGTTGAAAACCGATGTTCTGTGTGGATTCACACCTATGTCCATCAGGCTAAATGGTAAACACCCACCAGCCTATGCTAACTACTTCTCTATTGTAAATTGTCTTGACCTTTACTGCAGCTGAATTCCTTTACAGATGCAAAAATAGGTTGTATTTCTTGGAAACAAAAACAAGTACAGTGGATCTAAAGAATCTAGAATAAAAAAAAAAAAAAAAGAGTGGCTGAAAGAAATTGAAAAAAAAATAAAAAACAGACAACTGAGATACTTAGTTCCCATGAAAAAACACAACACTCTTTTAATATACAACACTATTTGAATAACTATACTGGATGAAAAAAAATTGTAAAGCAAGACAGCAAGAGATAGACAATGATACAAATGGGAGGGCAACATAAAGAGATGGACAAACAGCAGTCTGAGAGAGTGTACTACCAAGACTGGAGTCAGTGTTTTAGAAATTCACTGCGGCCAACCTTCATTGTGGAAACAGCACCTGATTTATTGAAAAGTGCATCAACGCATTCACAAATGTGCACATGTCAACACTGACTATGTTCGCCTGCTATTCTAATCATGAACAACTGTCACAAACAAGGAAGGACGTCAGACATCAAGAGGCAGGAAACAGGACACAAAGGCACACCCAACAACTGGAAACATCCACTTGACACTGAGTGAAACAACACCAGTATATAAAACTACCATACAGCAAGCATGCAATGACTGCGTCACTTTCTTGTAGGGATAAAGACAACTATTTGTAATAGCCTGAATATCCATAATTTGCGCTGTACAGAGAACAGTTAAACAGGATGTATATTTCTAATTAATGTCCTTATCTAACAGCGTCTCGGGTCTTCATTTTCCATACAGTGGTCTGGTCGTTGGCCTCACGTTCTGGGGGTCATAGGTTCATATCACAGACGTGTCGCTGAGCTCATCCAAGGGTGTAGTTCTTATTAAGATCCCTGAAAAACATTGTTGGATCCACCCAGGATGTTCGTTTCTTGTGTGATGCTTTTGGCAGGCGGCTAGTCATTCTGCGGAGAAAGACTGAGCGATATGGGATAACCAGGTGCAGTAAAAAAAAGCAGAGTGCTTCTGCCCGAGCAACAAGGAACAACCATCTGCACACAATTAGCCAGTAAAACGGATGTATCCGCAAAACTCAGGCCCTGGCACAAAGTCAAAGTCCAAATGGACAAACAAACAGGACTTTCCGCTGCAGCTTACAGCCGCTGAACACAGAAAAAGGAGAAGATGTCCGGATCTAACAGTTTTTCGTGGCAGATATTTCTAAACTCGGGTTGATTTAATTAATCTGGTTGTATTAATAAAACTATAATGACACACGCAGACAATTATGCAATCGCTCCAGCCTCTTTTCACAGAATCCCACGTCAAGGCCTTTTGGGAAGAAGCAACGGAATCATTAAAGAAACCAGATGATTATGGCTTGCAGAGAATGGGGCACCTGGGGGTATAGCCGGCTCACTACACTCAGAGGAAAGGCAAAACGGACATATAACCAGATTGTGACGGGTACCATCAGTACTGGAACTCTGCGCTGGCTGCTGAAGATGAGGACTGAGTACACATGGGGATGTCCCGAGTGCTGTGATGTCAATTCTTGACTCCCCTCAACTCAATTCATAGCATCCCCCATGCTTAAAACGTTATTTTCTGTGGGCAGGTTTTCTAATCATCATCATCAAGTTCCTTTAGTAAGCAATGATGTTTTCCCACCTCTGGCAACCGTCAACAGCCTGTACCATCAGTACATTTGTCCATACAATGACAAAAGACTGTGCAGAATTTGCCATCGATGTCTTCCTTTATCTCCTTTATCTCTCCTTCCATAAATATTTTCAGCTGCTACAACATATTCCAGTTTTTATTTTTCAATAATTTCGGGGATGTGGTCAACGTCACGTCGGCCGCCTTTGCTTTCCAGACTTGACATGATAACCATTTTATGCTAGTTTTACCTGCAAGGCAAGGTCATGAATGACAACAACGAAAATCCGGCTTCGTGTGGATTGGAACCACCAACCTTCGGAACCGCAGGCAATCGCCTATACGCTACACAACGGCGGTGCACAATCGGGTGCATTACTACAGCGTTACATCAACATCATTTTCAAAGTATCTTTTGCTTTTGTTTTTGGATTAACTGAAATACTTCGTCTATACTGTACGCCATAAAGGCATGGGGAGAAAAGTAACTGAAGGTATGGAGACAAGGTATTGAGAGAACAGTAATGGCAGAAAGTATTGGAAGGTATTGAGAGAACTGTGATGGCCGGTAGTAATGAAAGGTATGGAGAGAGCAGTAATGGCAGGAAGTAATAGAAGGTATGCAGAGAACAGTAATGGTAAGAAGTGATGGAAGGTATTAAGAGAACAGTAAAGGAAGTTATGGAGATAACAGTTGTGGCAGCATTTAATGGAAGGTATTGAGAGAATAGTAATGGCAGGAAGTAATGGAAGGTAGGGAGAGAACATTAATGACAGGAAGTATTGGAAGGTAGGGAGAGTACGGTAAGGACAGGAAGTAATGGAACATATGGAGAGAACAGTAATGGAAGGAAGTAATGAAAGGTATGGATAGATCAGTAGTAGCAGCAAGTAATGGAAGTTAGGAGAGAACAGTAGTGGCAGCAAGTAATTGAAGATATGGATAGAACATTAGATAGTACGGGTCCTCGAGTAGGCAACAGATGATCAGCTTGACCGTAGACACAAGACATCAACAATACCCTAGACATGAACGTTGCTGAGGTGGAAAAGTTGGCCAGAGGCCAAGTGGCTTTAAGGTGGGTGAACGACGTTCTACAAAGGACCTGACTCAGGTAAACTAAGTTTACTCTGGGGCTAAAGTGTTGGAAAATGGGCATCATCGCGGACCACAGATCAGAACCTCAATATAGAAAGATCACAAACAGAATACAACAGGCATTTTATCTGCCGGCCACTAGCTAGGTCTCTGTGGGCCCGATTTGGCCTGCGGGCCGATAGTCGAATAGCTTTGTGCTACGTGATGATGCTGACAGCAAATTTATACTGACACACAACACACCTTAAAAAAACCAAAAACGATTATTCTTCTGCTTTCTTGTTTGTCCTGAATAGTATGCCTTTCTTGTGTTTTCAGTCAGTTTATAAGTAAAGCCAGGTAAAGGTTCCATTTCCACGCGTTTAGGCGTATTGGGAATATAGGGCTAGATCTGTATTTTCCTTGACCAATCGGCACATGGTGGGTGATGTTGTCAGCACCACGCCGGCCGCCTTTACATCCCAGGACAGTACCCATTTAATGGTGGGTCGACCTGGAAGTCAAGGTCATTGTTGGGGGAAAAAAATCCGGCTCTGTCAGGACGCGAACCCACTACCTTCCGATCCGCAGGCGGGCATCTAGTCGCCAACGCCACGGAGACTCAGAGTCAGTGTATAGCGAAGTTTTCAAATGTGTGTTATCTGCATCCAACTGCAGCATGATATTCAGAATGTCATGGGCTTGTTTCCTCTTTTAAATTTGTACTTTCTCCGTCAGACTGTAGGGAAGGAGTGCATGCACTGTTTACAGTTAATGAAAGGCCTTCGGGCCAGCAGGCAAAGAGTCTAGCCACTGAATGAGCCCGCTGGCCCAAGGGTCTTGGGTTTCAATCTGCATTTATCGGATTTCACAATAAAAATTCAAATGATGCTGACCCAGCCTGAACTGGGTAGCGCAAAATGTCCTGGTCAGTAAAACCTGCGGCATGATATTGATCACATCTCCCACCTGCTGCTGATTGGTTTATAAAATATATGACTAGCATCATATGTCCAGCACCATATGCCCAATAATTTACTGTAGTCAAGTGTTAGCTAAATAAGCTACAGCTCAGGGCCCAATCAAGTCTCAATCCGGCCCTGACAATAATTCTGGTCAACTCTGGTTCCCTAAGCCTGGTGTCAACGGACAAGCTGTGAGTTGCTGACTTAGCTGTGAGGTACTGACCTAGCGGTGAGCTGCTGACCTAGCGGTGAGCTGCTGACCTAGCGGTGAGCTGCTGACCTAGCGGTGAGCAGCTGACCTAGCGGTGAGATGCTGACCTAGCTGTGATATGCTGACCTAGCTGTGAGTTGCTGGCCAAGCGGTGAGTTGCTGACCTAGCTATGAGTTGTTGACCA